TTTTTCAAAAAATTCAATTTACTTCTTTGTCAGCGACATGAAAGAGTTTGAATATACTATTTTGATCTTTTCATTTCTCTGCAGATAGTTTACTCATTTACCGAGAAACTTAAGGCTCCTATTCTTCAAAGCAGAGATGTGCATCGCGCCTGAAAATCGAGGCGGACGCCTGATACCACCTAACCAGTTTTAAAAGTAGTTCAAAACTTCAAAATTAATACAACTTATAGAACATTTGACCCTCTATCCAGCTATATGTAAATCATTTTGTTATATTTTGAAATAAACGACATCAGCTATTACCTTTGAATCATATTCTGCTGTTTTCTGAAATGTCATGTTCTCACTATAACTCAGCTATATCAAAGCCTTTTGAGCTGAAACTTTTACCATCGATGTATCTCAGTGACCCCTATTAGTAGCCTAAATTTCATCGAATTTGGAGAACTTTTTGAAAATCGGGGGTGCCCTTTCTATTTTGTTCAAAGCAGAAGTCGTTTATTTCGACACATGTTTTTGTCTTCAATTTAAACCATGATTACAAGGAACTAGATGCCAGTTCTAGTGCTATTATCTATTAATTGTATCAGTGAACTCTGTTTTATTTTATCATGAGCTATCAATTGTTCTTTTACTACTGTTACTAAAAGAAAACTTATAAAATGGATTGCTATTCGTATATGTATAGTGGATTTCGTGTACATAGTTGGTATTTGGCAAAAAATTGCATTATCATATTCTGACATTAATGGAGATTTATGCGATATATCTCAACAAATAATACTAACAATAACTATATTTATGACTATCGTAATAATGATTGCCGAGTTTGTTTTTGAAAATGTTTCAGATATTTTGCTGATGAATACTTAATCAATGATAGATAGAATTTGAATTGAATCAAATGTTTTGTTTGAAAATTTTTATTTAATACATTTGAAAATTTATAATAATAAGTTAGTTCACAAATTAAATGAAAAACAGTTTGTAAAATTATTCAAATTACTAGTCATCATTATTTCCACTCCACGGTGAAGATAAAAAAGCTCGCTTATAACTTTCACGATAGCTGAGTCCAGGGATGCGCCAGTCATCATCATCATCGTAATAATCATGATCGCTATCGTATCCATGCATTACTCCAGAATATAATGTAGTACGATTTACTGATCTTTCCACATCTAGAATACATAATTCTTTTAATTACGATTCAAAGTGATAGATTTATACATGAGATTTTCAGGAATCAACTATATATATAGAGTATTAATCTATTAATAATCAAATCTGCCTCATTTGAAAATTGAACGAAATAATAATGCTTTCCTATTGCAAACAGTAATAAGAGATCAATTAATCTATACTCACATGCATATTCGCTATCAGGTGGATATTCTGTTAAATCAGTTGCGTAACATCGATTTATATTCTTTCCCAACAGACATTGTATCTGTTTGAAAAGTGGATGAAGTTGTTGTATAACAATAATGTCAACTTGATCATTCCATGAATGAAAATATAGTTCACAATCAAAACGTTGTAGAATATGTGTATGAGAATGAATAATCTTAGCCAATTTCTCAAAATGTTCTAAAACTGAACCTTTACTTATCTTTCCTTTGACACGCAATCGTTTGAGATAAGGGGTGTATTGAAGCATTTCATCAAGATCATTCAGTAGATCATTGAGTGTCACTCGTAGATCTATCAGTGATATATGAGACATATTTAAATTTAATGATCGGCTAAATGGTTCATCAAAATTTGTTTCAAATCGGTGTAAATTAGGTAAAAGATTGAACAGAGGACCAAGTTGATATCCATACTATTGACTGAGGATAAGTGCACGAATTGTATTATTTGGTAATTGACAATGATCGTCGATTTCAACGCACGAATAAAATTCTCCTGTAAATTGACAAATTTTGAGCGATGGAAAATGCTCATTATCAAGAATAACAAGTAATAATTCTTTGCGAAAATCATGTGGGACATTATCAATTGAAATACGCTCAAGATGCTGTAACTTAATACTAAATACCTATAATGATATTCCATGTATTGATGCTGTTACATCATTAGACTTACTTGATCTAATTGATTGTTAGAGAGATAGGTACAATCCAATGTTAGAGAGCGAAGTTCTTGAAATAAATTTAAATCAAATGCTCTCCAACCATAATGCAATTTTAAGCAGATGACTTGTTCCGGCGAAAAATTTATAAAATAATCGAGATCTATTTCATCATCTTCTTCTGAATATTGAAGAATAATATGTAGTTTTACATCCCGTATTATACGATTAAGGCGTTGATTGTGTCCTTTGAAACTAAGTAGATCAATTGGTTTGAGGTATTTAAAGATTTCAAGTAAAATCTCATCTGGCAGACCTTCAAGACGAAAGAATGTCCTTGGTATAATGTCGCTCATGTTTATAATAGTTTATTTCAACACATGAAATACAAGAGATAATTGTTACTGTAAATGATTTTTATATTATCTGCAAAAATACCCAGTACTCTTATTCATCGTAATATTTACACTAGGGATGGAAGAAATAACAGTGACACATTCACTCGTCGAGTCACTGCGAGTCACTTTTGTCGTTCTGTTGTTATATGATGTCATCCATGCGAAAGAAAATGAATTTTCTTTCGTTCTATCTCTTATATACACACGAAAATGAATTTTCTTCCTCACACATGATATCGTACAACAACACAACGACAAAAGTAACTCGCAGTGACTCGGCGAGTGAGTGTATCACTGCTATTTCTTCCATCCCTACTATAATTATTTGTGCGCAATTAAGCGATTTGTTTTATATTAGGAACATGTCTGAAGCGAGAAAATACTAGAGATCTTTATTGAGATAAATATATATTATAATTTGAACAATTTTTATCAATCGATTAACAATGATTATATGTCGCTACTGTCTATGTTTCTTTGAAACTTTTCATCAATAGAGATGATCAGCATTTTTTATTTGTGGAAGTCTTACGAATGAAACATGGTGACAACTGTCTACTATGTCATCGTTAAAATTTGTGTTCATATCAAGGGAGAAACAGCGGATTCCGGGACTTCGCGGAACTCCGAGGACTCCAAAGGATTCCGGTCTTGACTGTATTCCTGGAACCCATACTGTTATAAAATTTGCTATTTTTCACTATCGACTATCAGAAAAAAAAATGTATGGTGTCAACGAAGAAGCATGTGTACTTTCACAGAGGCTACAACAATTAATCAATAACTATTTGTCCACGGAAAAATAGTTGTTGTAGTACTAAAATCATCGGATATATTTTCTTAATAACCACTAGTATAATGTAAAGAAAGTAGAAAAAAACGAACATATAACTATAAAAGCAAAAAAATATTTTAAAGTTAAAGTCAATCAAAATACGAAAATACAATAAAGAATGTCCTGCATGGAAAATACGAAATCTTGAAGGTTTTGGATTAAATCCTAAAGCATTCCTATCAATGCTAAATGATTTCTTATTTTGGATTGTTGTTTTTTTCATGAAGGGAACAGGGGAACAAAACTCCAAGTCATCTCTGGCTAACGAGAGAACATTCCCAGGTGTTGGAACGATTTTGAATCGGGACCATAGGCGGCGGAGCGTTGTCAATCTAGGAGAGATTGAAAAATTTTCGAATGACAAAAAGAGAGCTGAAAGAGGTGGCGGATGAGTCTTCGAATGCATAAGTTTTTCCTAGAAATTACTTTACAGTATTCTCCATATTGTTTTTCTTAATTTCGCGATAAACACGGAGCGTTTATAAGTAGAGGTATAAGCCGAGCGGTTGAGCTGCCATCGCCGCCGTCATATAAACAGAAATGTTCAATTTTTTGAATATTTTCGGTGTTTAGGATCCATTTTTAAGAGTCTTCTAATCTAACTCATAATAAGAACGTTTTATATTATATTATTACTTTTCCTTTGCCTGTTACAAAATTTATTAAAATTAAGAACATTTTTGAAAGAAGCGCTTGAAAATTTTGAGCTGCCGCTAATCGAGGCGTCGACTTACACATCTATTCGCAAATAGAGTGTTGCTTAAGATAATTAGGGTAATCATTAGTTCTTGGTAGCTTTACAATTAACAAAACGATTGTCTCAATCATGCGTGCGCTAAGAATTGCTCATAGAAAACGTTGATCTCATGTATAGCAATTTAGCAACATGCAGATGATTCTGCTCAGTGAAAACCTATGGATTAAAAAACTTCACGCAAGGTTTCTTATTCTACTTGGTGTTGCGATATTACAAGACCTTCTAATAGTTTCTAAGAAATTACCCTAGTCGAACTTTTTTTCACCCATTCTTGATCCAGTCAGTTTTCAAGATGTGTCCATATCGCATGACGTTCTTGCTCAGGATGTTCATGTTTTTCATGCGCATGTCACAAGAAGTTCGACTAGGGTACCCAGTCGGATAAGTAGCGAAAAATCGACGTTTTACACAGAGAAACTATATATTTTCATACGTCAAAAAAAACATTTTTTTGGTTGACAAAAGTAAACTGATAGAGTAAATGCTTTTAAATTTGTTTTTTTGAAAAGTGTAACTTTTTAACATGATTATATGTGCGCTTTTGTAAACAAACGCATCTATTACTCTGTTTCTTTTCTGTCCGAGCAAACGAAAAGAAAAATCACCAAATTTTATTCGTTTACCCATTCCTTATGATGTTTTCTGACATAACTATGGGCATGACTTAGAATTGTGATAGCGACTGCCGTCGAAGACGGCTACAATCATATAGGTATAGAACCAGTAACAGTATTAAAACGTTGGGATAAAGAAAAACGGTGTCGAGTTGATGTTACAGCTCCTCAAATTATTAATAATTATAATAAATTCATGGGAGGAGTCGACAGTATGGACATGCTGATAGCCTTATACCCCATCCCATTCAAATCCAAACGTTGGTATTTCAGAATTATATGGAGAATTTTAGATGTCATGCTTATTAATTCTTGGATTATCATGAATTCTCGTCTTAGTGGTGATGATCGTTATAGTTCTACAAGTCATGGAAAATTTAGATTATTTCATTTCAAATCTGAAATAGCAAAATTTCTATTAACAAAACCAAATATTCAAATATTCCCAACAGCAGCTATTAGTTCATCAATAAATGTTTATCAAAGTGATGAAGAAAATGAACCACCAACAAAAAAAAACTACGTGAAGCCAGGTCCAGTGTAACAAATGTAGTACGATATGATAGTTCTGATCATTGGCCTTTATTTATTTCTGCTCTTAACAGTACTCGATGTAAGAATGAAAACTGTTCTGGAAAAACATATTGGCAATGCTCCAAATGTAAGGTCCATTTATGCCTTAATTCAAACAAAAATTGTTTCACTGAATATTATACTCCTAAATAAGTTTCTATTATGGACATAAATGTTTGTCATTTTTAAAATATGTATCTTAACTTTGTTTTCTTTTTGTTAAAAAGTTATTGGACATATTACTCTCTATTAATTTATTGTGTTTACAACAAAATAAATAAAGTTATTCACTTGAAAACATTTTTCATACATAGATTCAGAATAGCGATGAATTTGGACCGTTAAGACCGAATGTCCCTTCCAGAGGACATTTTATACCTTCGTAAGAAAAAAAAATGTTTTTTTTAACTATCAATAATTCTTATTGAAGCACTGGACTTTTTATTTTAGCAATTAGTTTGTTCAATTTGCAGCAATAAGGCCTTCCGGCTCTTAAGGGTTAGCTTGTTAATTATTCATACCTCTTACTTGGTTAGTAGATAATCATTCATGGGCTGTTGTATGAGCTCGTGCAGGTTATAATCGAGAGTGAGGGAAGATGAGCAATACTCGAAAAATTTGTCATCAAACAATCGCAAGTCAATATTAGCAAAAATACAGGGTGATAGGGAATTTCACGTGCCTTCAGAATATATACTTACACTTGTAATAACTTGTTCCACGTTTAAAGAAAGAAAAAGTACATTTTCGGGGAATCTGATGATGAGAGTGCCTTTACTATATTCGAATTTATTTTAATGGAACAAATGCAATTCCAAATGTTTATATATGGAGTTGTAGAGAATTCTGCAGGCTATCCGAATGACTTTTGCTTCATTTTCAATCCTAAACTCAATCCGAAAACCTATCGTTAACTAATGGTTACGAAAGTTGCTATTTTAACTATTCTCGATGATGTTTAAAACCGATTTTTGGTACTCTAAAAGGTTTATTTTATAAAGTACAATGAACAAAAAATGGCTGAGGTCACATTTTCGTTAGTAGCTGATTCCATCGAGCTCCATCTTGTGGCACATAATTTAAATCTTCTCGACAATTCCCCGTATCCAACCAACAAAAATCAGTATTTGAAGTAACGAAATAAATTTGAAACCTTTTTAGTTTCAATTGATTTTCTAATACTCGATCAATAAATTGACATAAATCACGATGACTACACCAATCAGAATTGAAACTATCCATTTTAATAGTATCAGCTGTATTTATCCAACCAAATCTTGCACAAACAAATTTAATATTTATTCCATCACTTGATGAGTATTGTCTAGCTAATTGTTCCCCATATATTTTACTATTACAATATGCTTCCCTAGATGGATTTACGTGCGATGGTATCGGAGGATCATTTATTGTTAATTTTTTAAATGGTTCCTTTTGTATAATATTTTTTATTAATGATGAATAAGGTTCATTTTCAAAATAACCAGCAACGGTCAAGCCTGAACTGGCATAAATGATCATTTCAACATGATCTTGTTGTGTTGCTATATCAAATAGAATTTTAGTACCATCACAATTAATGTAATTAATTTTTTCAACCGTTTCCGCGTCTAAAACTGCTGCTAAATGAATAATAATATTGATTTGATTATCTTGAATAATATGTAAAAGTTGATTTCTATCGGTAATATCACAAACATAGAATTTTTCTTTTGGTGGTAATATTGGTTGCTGTCCTTCGGATATTGATGTATTTTCTAATTGATAACGTGATGATAATCCAATATGTTTATCGATACCATAGACATCATAGTTGGAATTCTTTGATAGATGTTCAACTAGTATACCACCAATGAAACCGGATGCACCAGTAATAAGAATTTTTTTAACCATCATTAGTGTCAAATACAAATGAAAAAAAAATATTATCAAGGGTAATATATATAGGCATCTCTTTCTTATCAACTGGCTCTTTTTACATAGCACAGATAAGAGGTGAAAACGATGAGATGGAGTATTGATAGAAGAGTAAAACATCGTTTGGTAGAGCTCATTATTATTTCAATATTAGGAGAGTGCAGGCCAGTAGAGTTGGATGTCCTATATTTCGAACGAGATATTTATCATTGACGCGAATCATTGAAATGTCATTCGACTAACAGTCATCTGAAGTTCTTGCGCATAATTTTCGCTTGATGTGGATCCGTCTCCTACAATACTCGACTATAAAGAGACAATCTTCTGTGACGCTCATGAGACATTTATTGAAACAATAATCAAATTTTGACGAGTGCCTCTATTTTATCATTAGTGAATCTTTTCCAAGCTCAAAGGTGTTCTATTATACGACTGTGATTTTCAGTCATTTCTACATCTTCTGAGTTAAAGACTTTAGTATGATTGCAGTTACTCTCAATCCGTGACTTGTATTTTCACAACATCTTCATTTACATTTTGAATCGATTTTGTATTTATTAAGTTGCAAATGTCTTGCCATGACTGCTGTTATTAAAGTGTTTGGCTGAATTACTACGGACGATTCCATTTGAAACAATTGTGTGCTCAGAAAAGTGGATAGATATGCATTTATGTATTGTATTCTAAAATTTTAAGCCGCTTGACGAATGTTTCGACGAAAAAGCTGTTAGCTTAATCTCTATGGGATTAAAATGTGGGTGTGGGTGTGGGTGTGGGTGTGGGTGTGGGTGTGGGTGTGGGTTTGGATGTGGGTGTGGATATGGGTGTTTGGATATGGGTGTGTGGGTGGGCGTGGGTGTGGGTGTGTGGATATGGGTGTGTGAATGGGTGTGGGTGTGGGTGTGTTCTTTTTCTTTATCTATACCCACACCCACACCCCACACCCACACCCACACCCCCACCCACACCCATCCTCTGAAGTTGAATGCCTACTGAGGTTGGTAGCAGGATGACGACTTGAAGTGCAAAATTTATGGAAACCATGACGGGAATAGCAATCGTAATCGGAACAAAGATATACACGGTGACGAGGATGGAAATGTGAACGAAGATAGTGGCCGAGACATATATTGAAACACAGGTTCGAGTCGATGCTCTGACCGAGAACGATTCTAGAAGAGAACTAATATTGATACCGAGGTCAAAAATGCATCCGGGTCTCGATCTTTGACCAAATATATGTTCACGGACATGAAACGCTTCTAGAAGTAATGTCAAAAGCCAATATCTTCTCGCATATGTGGAAGGAATATCTGAGCCTTATAGTATTGCTTGTGAAATGCTAATATTTAATTTATACCGTGCAACGATGGCAAAAAATCAACTAAAGTAGTGTTATAGTGCATAATTTTTCTGCCTTCGATTCACGCTATTTTGCATCCTTCAAGCTGTTCGAACGATGAGTAATAGAACGAGCAAAATGACGATAATATTTTTATGTGAAAAAAATCGTGTATCTCATTAAAATATCTTAATTAATGATAGAATAAGCAAAACGACGATGATATCTTTATGGAGAAAAAAAGTCAGATATCTCATCAATATGTCATCATAAATGATCGAACAAGCAAAAAGACGATAATGCTTGTATGAAATAAACAAGGTATCTCAATTATATTTGATGATTAGTTATTTGAAGGGCGCGAATGAAAGCACACAAGCCAAACTTATATTAGTGATGTACATATAAGCCACGTCTTGTTTTTATCTCTAACATAAAACAACGTCAATATATTAGTGTTATTCTGGTCGTCAGCACACAAGACTTCGTATAATACAGAGAGCAAACGTATGTATTTTCACATTGCATTTTCTTCAGAGAGCGTTTTTTATCAATAGTAATCAGTGAATTTTTCTATTCTTAAATACTATCATTAAGCTTATATTATTATTTTTTTTCGTATCATAGTAATTATTTTTCTATTCGCAAAAATGTTCCAAAATTCTGTATGAAATGACTAACAAATATTAAATATTGTAAAGTCACTCTTGTCGCAAAACGTCTGTAGCAGAAGGTGATAATCAACTTTGTGAGGTTCCATGTAGAAAAAAGACCGTTCAACATTATGTTCTTTTACTATTTGAAGAGGTTTTGACCTCGTTGAAAATTAGAAATGATATTATACAGATAAAAAGTGCTTCAGGAAATTTTCGTAGAGGAATTTCTCTTCAACTGAGTTTTGGCGAAGAATTTGCTTAGGATATTGTCTTCAGAGCGAATAGTTCTAATTAGATAACAGCTGTTTTTATGATATCAACAAAATTCGCGTCGGTAGGATTTGGAAAAACAGTGTTTCTCCTCAAATGACTTTCTGGTTAGGATTATCTAGAAAATTCTCAAGTTAGAATAAACGAAGTGGGATAATGAGTTCATTTGGTGCTGGTGTTATCCAATACCAAGGGGGAAATAGCGGATTTGGGATTTTACAGATTCTAAAACCCAAAGAAGATTTTTTGGGTTTTTCCTGGATTTTTTCGGAATTTTTAGGATTTTCGGGATTTTTCGGGGTTTTGGGGTTTTTTTGATTTTTTGGGATTTTTTGAGATTTTTTCGGATTTTTTGGGGTTTTTTAAATTTCTGAGATTTTGTGAAACAGGACCTGAAAGGAGTGTTGAAGTGTTTAGGAGTAGAAATTTGCACCCACCCCCTCCCTTCCCCACAGACCGTGACAGACACTCACGTGATCCATCACAGATCGTGACAGACAGGTCTTTGGATCCATTACAGACCGTGACAGACAAGGCTCTGGACCCATCGCAGCCCGTGACAGACAGGCTTTGCACGCGTCACAGACAGGTCTCCGAACCCATCACAGACCGTGACAGACAGGTCTCTGGGCGTGTCATAGATCATGATAGATAGAGCCCAGGGGTCATTATAAACTGACAGAAGACTTCAAGCAAATACCAGTGATAATGTATAACTAACATATGATTGGAGCATATATGGAATATTATCCGGTTCAAAGTGCATAATGTAAAGTAAACCATTAT